GTAGATGTAGATGTAGATGTAGAACTCTCCACCAGTGGAACGGAGGGCTGGTAAAGGATTCAAAGAGGTGTGCCACAAATGACAGAAGCGAGTGCCCAAACACAACAAAATGGCCCCTTGCCTTTCTTTCTCGACCTCTTGCTCTCAGCACAGACGAATCTTCTGCAAACTCTTTTGTTTTTACCTCCTTTTCCCTAATTGTTTTCTTTCTCCATGGCTTCTTAGCTGCTACTGCCAAGCTGTCTTCAGCAGCAAGGAAACATTGCCATCTCTCGGAGACTCTGCACCGCCCACTGGAACAAAAGGTCGGCAAAAGCCAAAAAAGAGGTAACTTAAGCAAGTGAAGGGAAAAAAGAATACAAAAGGTGAAAGTATAAAGATTCCAAACACAGGCTTACTTAAACACAACAAAGGTAAAGCCAAATAGAAAAGAAAGGAAAACAGTAGCATCTCTCTCTTCTCTACGATACAAATGCTTTCTTTCCCTGCTATATATATATATATTGCATTATAGGCCACAGTTAATATTGCATTAAGAATCAAAATCTATATTCGGTTCACAAAATCCAAAGGAGAAAGATCAATAAAAAAGTATTTTAGATAATTTTTTTTAAATTAAAAATATAATTTGAGAAAAAAAGGCAAGAGAGAGGTATCATCTTTTATGAAATACCCAACATATAGATATTTTCTAGAGAAATCGTTCCAAAATGATTATTTATATATTATAGATTGCTTTTTATATTTTACAAGATTTTTGGCACCTTCAGTTTTATTTTATTAACTAACTATTTTTGTATTTCCATCTTCTATCTATATTTATATATTATAGATTGCTTTTTAAAATGATTGAATAAGTTTGAAAGTTGCTAAGTCATCGAAAATGAGAATCCAAATCCCCCATATCCTCTCTCTCTCTCTCTCTCTCTCTCTCTGCCAAACAAATACAAATCCCCTAAACAAAACATCTATTCCTTCAGTACTCAAATCCACTATATGTGTATATCCATTTCAGTGTGTTTGACTTGGAAATTTATCAACGTAAGAGAGAGAGAAGAGAAGATGATGATTAAATTACACTGTTGTTTCTAATTATTCCCAATGATTTATTTGAGATGCCAAAAACATATGTGTATATCTATGCTTATTTTATTATGATTTTAAAGAAATCGAGTGGATTTATTTTATATATACACATACATATATACAGAAAACATAAGTAGGATTAATGGAATGAGGAGGCAATTGACACATTCCTCTGATCCACTGACAATCATCAGAAACAAGTCCAAATCATTGAGGGGATCAGACAAATTTGCAGGTCAAAAAAAAAGAAAAACAAGGGTTGTCCCTTTTGTTCTCTCAAAAACTCATTCCTGCCTGCCTATATGTCCTTTGCTTGGATGCTTCTCCTCTTTCTAGTACATGTTTTATGATAAAGATTATATCACATCATGTTCCATTTATTTACCTCTTCCTCAGTAAGTATATATATATATTATAATCTTCGAAATATATTATTTATTATTATTATTATTATTATTATTATTTCTATACGTACATACATAAAATGCTGCAAAACTTTAAAAGCTTTTCTTTGAATCTCTGATCATTATTTTTGTATGTTCCATTAGATAGACATAATATAATAATAGAGGAGGAGCACACAACAATCACTAATGTTATTCTCATTATTCTCTAGGAATTAAGTATACGATATATTTTTTCTCCTTCTTTGACCGTCGACCGACGATGAGTATGAGCATTAAAAACCCTCGTATATTCATTCTCATCAAACACACAATCACTTGTGAAAAAGATTAATTTCGAGCGATGTGGGAATCGATTACATTAAAACAAGAAAAGTAAATTGTTATCTTTTGTATTTATTATATTTCTTCTTATTTTTTTGAAGTCTACTTGTTTAGTCGAATGGACGCTCAATATTAAAATGCCATGATCGAATATATACTCGCCCTACTAAAACCCAACGTGGTCGGTCACCTTTGCTCCTCTGCGGGTTAAAGTTGGGGCACATCCCATCGATTTGCGAGCCTCACCACCTAACCAACCCATTAATGGACCACATCTAGTGAAATCAAATCTCTTGCGAAGGAAGAAGAGACTTCATCCCTTTCGAGCCATTATTAACAATATGTTATTGTTCCTCGGTACCTTTGTTTTCTTTTGGTGATTTGGTATTAGCGTTAGGTGAGATGTGGTGGTTTTGTATTAAGAGTGGTGTGTCGGTGACATTGCAAGATGTTTGGATTTATGAACAGATCAGCTAAGTTAGATTAATTAATATCTTCATTTATTTGAATTTCCTATGACTTTAGATCGATAAATAATTCTTTGATTTAGTAGGCTCAAGAATAATGATTTTCGATACGATAACAATTAATTTTTTTATTATTAGTTAAGTTAGAAGATAAAATATATAAATAACGAATCCGAATCGTAAGAAGATAAAATTTATATGTATCATTCAGGAAGACTTATGTTTGGTTGATACATTTGGATGGATGGATGGAATCGAGATACATTCATTCGAGTAGGAAAAATAGAAGTGTTGGAATAAAAAAAAGTAAGGAATAACCCACCTTTTTGATTCTTACGTTTCAACCAACCATCACTTCATAGTCTTAGATTGTTCGAAGAGTGCACAAAGCAATCACACAAAAGGTGTAGTGCATCGTACGAACATGTCACTTCATTATGAGTTGACGATGAGACGTGACGATGGGGGAAGGTTCCAATTGTTTGTACCAATCGGACACCGACCAAATAATTCACTCTCTATGGTCCCATTAAGCCACATGACGTGCTAACGCTCGATTCCAACTCCAATAGGGATGTTGGCGTCATTAGTAGTTTCAAATCACTAATTAACCTACTGATTTGTGATGATGTGACATTTGATCTCAATTTAATTTGGAAAAAGAGTCCAAATATTTATCGATATTTTTAATTCGATCGATTTAATTCCATGTGTGTGTTAAGTAAGAACACATCTTCTAATAATTTATTTATTGAATAAGGTCTCATCTCTAAAAAAAATGAAAACTAGTTATCGAATAAGATTTCGAATCCTTAACTTTGAAGTTTTTACGAAAAGTTACAATTATTTCATCAAATTTGAATGGTTATTAATTAGATTTTTATCGAAATGTAGTTAACTATATTTAAGTCAATCGAAAATGAACTACTTTTAATGGAGAAGGTATCCGTGTCTCACTTTTGGTAACACCAGAGAATATTAGTATTAACACATCAATTGAATTGGATGAGGAGGAGTGGATTTAGTGGAGGACACGAGTTGGATCTTTGTCAACTTTGAGCTCTCTTCACCATCATTAGATTCACCAATCCCTCTAAAGATTAGGATTCCTAATCATACTAATTATGTGCGTGCATGGGGCCAAACATATTAGTTGGGATGTGCATTTCTACGAACAAATAGTAGACCCTACAATCATAAGGAATAATAATAGACCCCATAACCATAAGGAATAATAAGGTGAGGGTAAATGCTATCTTATTTTTAAAAAATAGTTCTTTCAATCCTAGAAGGATAAAATATTTTTATCTAAACACGATATGATAGGGAATTGATGAGACTAATTTGGTTCTAAAATTTTGACGCTATGGTTTGATTTGATTCGATGTCTTGGTTGGTCTAGCTCTAGCTAAATCTAGAAGGTTCTTTTCGTAACTCAAGTTAAAATATTTTTTATTTAATTAAAAAAATAATTTAATATATAAAGTTTCCATCAATAATTTTTGGATAAAAAAAGATATAATTAAGAATATTGAGTAATTATCTTAGGATAAAATGGTATGGGATATATCTTGAAACTTAATTATAATATCTACTTTTACGAGGATGATAATATATCAGGTATCTCACGATCTTATTTTGTGAGTTTATCTATCTTGGATAATTTTTATATTATAATATTGCATCTCGGCAATTTCTACCTCAATCACAAGTCTTCGTGATTCCAAAGCCAATTTTATGAGTGGAGATTACATTTAAAATTATTACAAATCTCTAGTTTTAAGAATTTATTATTATTATTATTGTTTGGAAGAGCCTCTTAGGCTCAAAAGAAAGAGGTCAACAATGTTCTTATCTATGTATTTTTATTTTCTAGATATATAATTAATATATCTAATTTGACTATGGAACACATAACATTTTCATTTTTAAGTTTATCCTATTTATTGATATAACAAATCTTGGAATTCCCTTTTAACCATATAGTGGTAATTTGTTGTGTTTAGTGATGGCTGAATTAGTTTCTAGAGCCATGGGGTCCTTTAGTGGATTAAGAGAAATAAGGAAGGAATTAAATTTTGTTTCTTAAATATCATATTAAAGTAGGCTTATACACAAATATATATATATATATATATAT